AACCCTGGGACCTGATATAGACAGGTGTATGCCTTTTCAAATCATGTGCAATCAACTGAATTGACCACAGGTGAACTCCTATGAAGCCGCTGAAACATCTCAAGAATGCTCAGTGGAAACAGAATGTAGCTGAGCTCAATTTAGAGCCTCAACGGCAAAGGCTGTGAATACTGATGTACATGTGATTTTTCAGCTTTTTATTTTTAATAAATGTGTAACAAATTTAAAAACTGTTTTCTCACATTGCCATTATGGGGTATTGTGTGTAGAATGTTGAGGAAATAAACTAACTTAATCCATTCCACAATGTGGAAAAAGTAGAAGTGCTATGAATAATTTACGGATGCCCTGTAATGCAATAAACACCAGACAATCAGAATAAATAATAAACAGATTAAATAAAACGATGACTTCAAATTCAGCTGGCAATTCCACTTTATGTTTCTCCATCCTTGATTTATGACTAATTGCTAAGATCCTTCAGATTTAATTAATCGCTGTCATGGGTCCTGTCCCAAATGCCGCATAAGCCCTCAGATTCCTCCACACTTTGATGCTGTAGTCGTAAAGAGCTGAGCAAAGGGCACGCCGAGGGCACGTGAGCCCCTCTGAAGCTAAAATATTGAATCGACCATCCTATGATCTCCTGAACTTCACAGACTCGCATACGCAATACCTATTGTAAATCTGCAACTCCTCATCAAGCGTGTCATGTGGGAAAGTCTGGCTTGTTTTGATCCATTGTTTTGTCGGTCCACAATGGTTTCACTATTATCCTGATTACAGCCGAAAATGCACAAAGAGCATGAATAATAGTCGCTTGTGTCCATAATAGTTATAGTCAGACCCTTGCCATTGGAAACCCTTTTCTCTTCATCCTTTAGCGTGCTTTTATGTATTTCAAAGGACGAAGATATTCATGTTTAGCTTAGTTTGTTCTTTTATTCAGCGCACAGACATATCTGTTTTATTACTCTACAGTTCTCAGCCTGGTGTTTTATATCAGACAGGCAAAATTAAAAACTGATTGAAAGTATGTTAATTTGAGAATCACTGTGCTGATTAAACTACTCGTAGTTCTTTGCTTCGTTGCTGAATTAGGTAAAACGTTCATCTAAAATGTAGCTAGTGGCGGATTTAGGAATGGGCAATATGGGCGATCCCCCAGGGTGGCACGTTTTGCTGGGGGCACGGGGAGATGGTGCAAAAAAAAAAAAAATGTGCCCAAGTAAAAGCTTTGATATTCGATTTACTTTATGCAAATATTAATTTAGAGTCATCCCAGAATAAACACGTTACACCAGGGGTGTCCAAACTCAGTCCTGGAGGGCCGGTGTCCTGCAGATTTTAGCTCCAACTTGCTTTAACACACCCCTATTGAAAAAAACAGCTTAAACCAGACTAGGCTGGTTGGCTAGTTTTAGCTGGTCAACCAGGCTGGTTTTAGAGGGGTTTTGGCAATTTCCAGGCTGGTTTCCAGCCATTTCCAGCCTGGAAAGGGCCAAAACCCCTCTAAAATCAGCCTGGTCAACCAGCTAAAACCAGCCAACTAGCCTAGGCTGGTTTAAGCTGGATTTTTCAGCAGGGAACTGCAAGGATGTTTCTAGAAAGCCTAGTAAGAGCTTGATTAGCTAGCCAGGGNGNGTTNGATTGGGGTTGCAACTAAACTTTGCAGGACACCGGCCCTCCAGTACCGAGTTTAGACATGCCTTCGTTATACATTGACATTTGCCGTATTTTGCACGTGCAAATTTGCTACTCTATGTGCAACTGAAACAACACTGGTGTAACCAAACTGACGCATGCACGCAAAGAACCATTCCAACGCACCTCACACGCTGCTCACTCGCTCCTGGTATGAATCCCGGTTGTTTACATGCACACCGATAAAATACGCACCACTCATGCGATGTAAAACCGGAGTAACAGCCTTTTACAGGGGCGCCTGCAGGATTTCATTCTAAGGTACGCACAAATCCAGCACCGCCCTGCCGCCTTCTGATGGCTGTTATTTCAGTATTCAAACATTAAATAATGAATGCATTAAGTACAATAAAAACGAATATTTTTTTTAATAATTTAGCAAAATTCTGCTATTTTTATCTTTGTATTTTTATAATTTAATTTTATTAGTTTTACTATTTTATTGTCTTCATAATTAAAGCCATAGACAAAATCCTGATTGACATTTTAGAAAATATTTTGCGCAGCTACCCAGTATGTATTAAAGATCACAGAGAAAAAAACAAAACAAAAAAACACAGAAACATGTTAAATGCTCCAATAAATTATTTAACTGAATCGTAAAAATAATAATAATAATAATAAAATTGCTCATTTTTATTTTTATAAAACATTTTATTATTATTTTTGAGTAAAAAACTATACCGACATTTAAGAATCCATATATTTATTCATTAAATTTAACTGTTTTTTTTGGTGCATAGGCTATAATTTAACTCATACAACAGTACCTTGAACAGCTACACTGCCGCTAAAG